TTTAGGTACCACTAACCTTGAACCTTCAATTCCAACAGGTTTCTAAGGCAATTTTGATACCAAAAGCTTCTAGATATATCTTTGAGAAACCACCTTTGGAAAGAAGCAATGCTCTAAACAGTGCTTGCTGGCTGAATCACTGAGTTGGTAATTAACACAATGGACCAGGTACTTCAGGAACTACAGGGCTGGATGGATGAGGGATGGAAAGAGTGGAAGAAAACAAAGGCCAGGCAGGCTCCTAATTAACTAGCAAAACAGGCTGGAAGAAAGCACTGCACTCTTCTCCAAACAGCTCTAAAAGAAATGTGTCAAGCCAAAACTAGAATAATTTTTAACTAAGAATTCTGTAAGGGACACCAGAGCATCTGGAATGCGGTCCACCACAGAACAAGCAGACCTGATATGGGGCTTGGGAGCCATGAACTGCAAGTGAATGGAAACGCATCCAATTCGGAATCAAATAAACAAGCCTGGGCTCTCAGCCAGGGAGAATTCTTGGATTGGACTTTTATCAGGGAACTAAATTTTAACCAGCTGGAAACGCCCCCCCTCCATACACACACCCCAGTACCATCCTATTCTTTTCTACCTTTAGAGATGAAATATTTGCCTTAAATGGGAAACTTGTTCTTCATTGTAAAGACAGTGCCAGCATAGTTTCCGAATTGCTGAGGACACTCTTTATGGGGAAGACGTTTAGAAATGGGTAGCTCAGACACAATAGACCAGGAAATATGTACCCTACTATCTAGGGTAGGAGACAAGAAACAGCTCACAGGAAAAGCTACTAAACAGGGATTTGTGAAAATGGATTTTTTAGGGTTTTGGTTTGTTTGTTTATTTGTTCACTTGTCTGCTTGCTTTTAAAGATAGGATGTCATTATGTAATAATTTGTATTAGCCCAGAATTTACCATCTGGCCTCTAAGCTGGTCTTGAACTCTTGATCCTCCTGCTCTGCCTCCCAAGTGTTTAGAGGTATGGACCAACAAGCCTGGCTTTGGAATTCCTTCTTCTTAACAAGACAGTGGGGGAAGTTTGGGAACCTCTCAGCACAAGGCATTGACAAATTAAGGCACAAAGTTATCCATCACAGACAGGACAAATTTGCTATCAAAAAGTAAGAGTTGGGGCTAGAGAGAGGATTCAGTGAGTACAAGCACTTTTTGTGCAGGGAAGAAGACCTGAGCTCCAATCTCTACCACCCCAATAAAAAAGTCAAACATGGCCACCCATACTTGTGTGGCTATACCTCGAACACTGTGAGTGACTGTGGAAGGCAGAGACAGAAGGATCACAGACACTTGCTGGTTATCAGCCTAGACCCAGGGTCAGTGAGAGACTTTGTGTGCAGGGAGTAAAACAAAGTAATAGAACAGGTCACCTGACATCCCCCCACCTCTGCTTGAGTGCACACCTGCACAACCCAATCCAGTAAATCAATGAAATAAAACACACACATTGAAAAAAAAAAAAAATCAAGGTAATGGGAAAAAGTGGAGCCAGTGTCATTGTGTGGGCCAGTCCCTCTAGAAGCTTCATAAATTGTAACTCCTTTGAAAAAACAGTATCATTCAAAGCACAACTTCACCTGACAAAGACTATGAGGCTTTTTTTTCCCTATAAGTAGTTGAGGAAGTGTGCCCACAGATCATTTCTAAAACACTGAGCTGTGTCCGAGATGCTATCGTTCCTTAATTACCCCATGAGGCATAGGGAGGTTGTGAAACCTGACCACTTAAACCAGGCCAGTGCACCGCTCTGAGAGCAGCTCTCCTGGGAAAATAGCCAGTCCTCCAGTGGCCTGGGTTTCTCCATGTCCCCTGGAGATTAAGGGAGCATTCACCCATTTGTTCTCCAGCATCCAGGCCTTCCCCTTCCTCCAGGCTTCAAGGTGCAAGGTTCTAAGAGAAACTCAGACCCCAGGATACCCACGTCTGTTCATATCACATATATAACTTACCTTCACTCTTGTTTGTTTGAGGTAGGATACAAATGTGCACAAATGTGCATATTCTTGGTTGGCCTAGAACTCAATATGTAGGGCTAGGTGGTCTTGAACTCACAGAGATCGGCCTACCTCTACCTGAGTGCTGCTGGTACTAAAGGCTACAACTACAAGCCTTCTTACCGTCTAGCAATGGGGAATGACCCCAGACCCTGGAGGATGCTGGGCAAGCGCTCTGCCAACGGCTACAATTCTAATGCTGCCTCCCAGCCTTTTCTTGGCTTGCTTCCTTTTATTTATTTTTCTTTTCTTTCTTTCTTTTTTCTTTTTTTTTTTAACTCACAGCTATCCTCCTGCCTCAGGCTTTGACCCTTATTCTATATATTTATACAGACCCAACTAGACTGTAAGTGACACTTCAGAGTTAAGGTCAACATCCACAGGCTTAGTACCAGACCTGGTTAGAGAAGCAGATATGACTCAGATATCCAAGATTCTGAACAGTAGTACCTTCTGGAACCCCAAGACAAAGCAAGCTCTGGGACATCTTAATTATTGAGGTGGTGACAAGGAGTGCTTCCTGCAAGAAGCCACACTGGAGCTAAGACACTAGAAAGATAAAAAGCAAGGAGATGATGTTTTTCCCAAGATTTAAAGGTGGCTGTAGCCAGGATCATTGCTTTCAGGGGTCACAGCCTGTGCTAAGGCCTACTACAGATAAGACACAGCACTCAGAAGCCCAGTGCTAAGATCTCTTCTACTGCTGGGCACTACCACTACCCCCTGGGAGACTGAACCCAGATTTCAGTCACACCACACACATACTCTACCACTGAGCTATGTCACCAATACTCGTTTTATGTTCTTTTTTTTTTTTTTTTTTTGAGACAGTCTCTCTAAGTTGCTCAAGCTAGCCCTGACACTCATTCTTTAGCTAGGCAGGCCCAAAACCATTGATCCTGCTGCCCCACCCACCTGGGTAGCAGGGATTGCAGCGCTAGCCTTGACTCCCTTGAGTCTTCAAATCGTTTAATATAGGATTTTACAGAAAGATTACAGAGTCTACATGTCCTCAACCAAGATTTATTGGGCTTCTGGCTTTGTGGCCACCAAGGAAACAAAACACATAAAACTGGAGAGCACCACAGTAAGGGGCCTGAATGTAAAGCATTGTGGGAGGGCTTCCCTAAAGAGGCATCCCAAGAGCTGTATGTAAAGCCAAGCAGAGAGCTCCCAAGGCAGAAGAGAATCAAGCACACCCTGGCAGTGTGAAAGGAATCAGAAACTGGGTAACAGGGAGGGAGGGACAAAAAAGATGGTTGTGTAATGAGGAGGGGAAGCAGGGACTACTCTCACAGGTAGGTACCAAGCAGGCAATTACAGAAGGAACTGAACCATGGGAAAGCACCTGGAATCCAGGATAAGGTCCAGAACCTCCCAGGCTCATCCAGGAATGGGGTAATGACTAAAGGAAAGGACTGTAGGCACGGAGCCGGAGCTGTTAAGATCACCCTCAAGAGGACAGGAATGTCAGTGGCCCTGATGGACCACAACATGGAGGGGGTGGGGGTTGGGGTGGGGGGTGTCATATCCAGGGATACATTCCTAACAAACACAAACACTGCTTTGGCTTTTTCAGAGACCACTATAGACCCAATATTAACACTTTACAAGTGGTATGTATTCTAGACTATTACAGAAAGGCAGGAACTGCCGATAAGCAGTCCAGATCTGAAATCTTCTATAAATTGATAGGTTAACGTTGAGATCACCGTAAAGAAATCTGGAATCTGTTAAAACTAACAGTGATGTTTTACTGCAATGGAACATAATAAGACATGGTGAGGCTTTACTTAAACGGGAAGAAACCACAGTGTTCACGGAGCGTAAAAGAACCATAGCTGCCTGGTTCATACCTGGTTTTCTGAACCGTGATTCCCTCTAAAAGTAAGCCAAGTATCCCTCAGAGGTGTCATGTCCTGGGTCTTGTCTGTACTGAGACTGTTAAAGATTTTTCCATGGAAAAATGTAACTCAACGTTGGTCTAAGCAAACTGCCCCAATGTATCCGATGTATCCCTGCGCCCTGGGGAAATTAGTAACAACACGCCCACCCCCTCTTCCTTCTCTCTAGGTGAGGAAACAAGCTCCTGGAGGCCTGAGTGTAAAGCCTGTGTGCTCACAATAGGGTTGAAGGTGTGAGTGGCCTGATTTGCAGCGCCCGCGTCTCTGTGGGAGGTTCAAAGTCCGCAAACCAGGGGACCGCAATAACTAGACATCATCAAAGGAACACCTCAGCTCTGGGAAGAAGGCTTCTAAGCCCCCAGAGAAAGTATGGAAGCCACCATGGTCTCAACTTTGACCTGGCGGAGCGGACAAACTTTTGCTGCCCTTTGGTCACAAAAACATCAACTTAAGCTGGGACGTGGGGGTAGGGGTAGGGTGGGGGACCATTAGCCAGACGAAAGGCTGAAATGGAAGCAGCGTTTCTCAAAAAGTTAGGAATCGGCGATTGGGTAGAAGTTGGGTGACGGCGCTGCCTAAAAGAAACAAAGCGACTGCGAAAAAGGGGGTGCATCCTTCCCTAGCACTCCAAGTCCCCTTCCCTGGCTACCCTGAGCCCTTGCAGAGCTGTGGACCGGAGGTCCAGGGCAAGAACCCCACACCGACTCCGAAGCGCACTGGTCCTGCCGACTGCCCGGAAGATCCCAATCCGGGACGCGCAGCCCCCGGGCAGAGGGCCGGGAACAAAGGGTGGGGCGCACGGCCCCCGCCTCTCCGCCCAGCCACCCGCCCTCCGGAGTCGGACCCCTGCCAGCGGCCGCGCCTCATTAACAACACAAAGCCAGGGGTCGGCGGCCCCTTTCATCCCGGGACCTGCAGACGCGCGCCCGGGGATCCAGACGCGGGATGGGCTGGAGGAGCTGAGAACCCCGTTGCTCGCAGATCCAGCGTCCAGCGATCCCTCTGCCCCGGCTCGCCTGCGCGCGAGCACCTGTGCGCGCGACGCGCCCCCAGGTAACCTGGAACCCGGAGAAGCCTTCGCCTTACCCTCCAGCCACAGGTGTCGGCGCTCCTCGCGCGGCCTGAGCCGCCCGCGGCCACTGCCAGCTGCGAGCCATTGAGGCAGGCGTTGACAGTGAAGAAGAAGGAGCAGAGCTGCAGCCACGGGGCCATGGCCGTACGCTCGCCCAGCCGGGCCCGTCTCCGCTAGGTTGCAGCCTGCAGCTCGCTCTCTAGCCCCGAGTGGGCGGTGGCAGCGGCGGCCCAGGTTGGCAGGCCCTCACCGAGCATGCGCTGCCCGGTTTCGCCCCGCCTCCTTCCTCCAGGTCCCGCCTTCAATCTCAGTTTTCCGTCCTGGCCCTGCCCCTGTGGCCGGGCCCTTCTATTTTGGCCCTGCCCCGCTGCCCCGGAGACTCTGAGTTTAACCGGAGGTTGGCACAGCAGGAGGTTAAGCACTCAGGGATTTTTTTTTTTTTTAAATCCAAAGGATTTGTGGAAATGACTTCTCCACGCAAAAACTTGGGGCGACTCGAAGAATATAATAATAGTAATTTTAAAATTAATAATTTAATAAGCACTTGTTTTTCAAATGTCAAGTTCCTTCTTGCATCCTACCAATGAAACGACAAGGAATGTCAATGTCATAATAAGGCCTCTAGGGAAATCCTGTCTCTACGTTTATTCCTGGGACCTAAGACAAATTACTTGCTTCCTCCAAAGTGCTGTTCCCTGTAAAACAAAATGAAGAGCAAGACTCTTCATCCAGGGAGAGTTCTGTTAACATGTAGGAAGCAATCAAGAAAGGCTACAATCAGGAACTGACTAGCATAAGGTCACATAACTAGAACTGAAAATTAGTGTTCTTCTCAGACACAAGTCAAACTTCACTTAGGGAATGTGTGTTATCTCTGGAAAAGGAGGCAAAGGGCCTCCTTTAGAGTCCCATAGTAGCACAATATACAACTTTTACTGCTATATCTGAGCCCCAACTCTCATCTTTGCACTCTCCGTGTCTACAGCAGCTTCATCATAACTGACGCCCCTTTTACTCCCACCCCTATGTACGGTACACATCCACCCTGATACAGATCACTGAATTTGCCAGCTAACACTCTTCAGTAATGGAAAGGAAAGGAAATCCATCCAGATCTTTACCCTGCCCTCGCTTCTTGTCTCTGATTGAAAGGCATAGCATACTGAGTGGCTCATGTCTTGAATCCCAACATCCAGGAGGCAGAGACAGGTAGGATTGTTTTGGTTTATATGTCACTGTCAAGAGTTCAGACATGCCCAGGGTCATGGTTTAAATGTGCTTGGCCCAGGGAGTGGCACTATTTGGAGGTATGGCCTTGTTTGAGAAAGTGTGTCACTGTGGGGGTGGGCTTGGAAACCCTCCTCTTAGCTACCAGGAAGCTAGTCTGTTCCTGGCTTCCTTTGGATGAAGATGTAAAACTCTTAGCAAACTCCAGCACCATGCATGCCTGGATGCTGCCTTGCTTCCCGCCATGATGATAATGGACTGAACCTCAGAACCTGTAAGCCCGCCCAATTAAATGTTGTTCTAAGAGTTGCCTTGGTCATGGTATCTCTTCACAGCAATGGAAACCCTAACTAAGACAGCTAGAGTAGGTAGGCACCTGTCCTTATCATGGGGTCATGAAGTCCACAGAAGACTGCCCTTCCAGATGAGCCTTCCCTGAGTAGACGCAATAAGCACACTGCTTCTTGCAAGAATCTGCAAGTCAGAGCTTTTCTCCCACCCTCCTTCAAACTCTAGGTATTCAAGTCCCCTTAGCAAAGGCTGTCCAGACCCAGGGCTGCCACAGACTGAGATGTTATCAGGATGGATAACCTGGCTTTTGGTGAAAGACGGAGAAAACCATGAGGTTATTGGCTCCTTAATCTAAATGTACTCCTGCCTAGATGTATTCCATAACTTACTAATCAATCCAGGTCCAGAGGTTTTGTTATAATCAGTGATTTTAAAATATTCCCCCACCCCACCCCTCTCTCTCTCTTTCTCTCTAAGTTTTGAGTGATCTATCTGCACGTACACCTGCGTACCAGAAGAGGGCATCAGATCCCCATTATAGATAGTTGTGAACCACAGTGTAGTTGTTGGGAATTAAACTTGGGACCCCTGGCAGAGTAGTCCTAACTGCAAGTCATCTCTGCAGCCCTGTAGCGATGATTTTGGCTATACTGCTTTGGTTCCCAGCAGGTCACACTCCCAACCACCCACCCAGGAGCTCTTTGGGTTCGAATGAAAGATTTATATACACACACACACATCAGTTAATTTATGATATGCCATGACTAGCTCAAAAATTGGACACTCCTAAATCTTCTCCTGATAGCAAACGTCCCTCTGGTACTCCTAAGACTCCTAAACCTTCCCTTGCTACCCCAGGCCCAATGGGAGAAGTAGCCAGTGGCCACTTATCTGAATTCTTACATGGATGGTCAGCTTTCTCTCCTCCAGCTCTTCCCATCCCACCCTTCTCCTCTGAGTCATGGCAATTCTCCCTCCTTTCCTTCTCCCAATTCCTAGGCCGCACAAATCTAAAGGTCCCACCTCAGTCTACCTGCCTAGCCATTGGCTGTTGACTCTTTATTGATCGATCAAAATCCAGCTGGGGACAAGGACCTTCAGCATTTGGACACGTAGATTACTGCTTTGCAGGGCCGGATTGATTCAAAGCATTAGAACCAATCCCCAACAAGCCCGCATTTTTTTTTCTTTTGAGGATACATTGCTAACCTTGAGAGTTCTGAGTTATGAACACTAACTACTACCAAACTCCTCATTATCTTGTTGTCTTCTTAATTGACTCTCTGTTTGCTAATGAGGTAGTGCTAATTTCAGGCACCTCTCCCACCTGTCTGGCTCACCTTTCTGTTCTTAATATGTACTCTACTTGTCCTAGAATATCAGTAGGCAAGAAATATCATTGCCAAAAAGATGTTGATAGTCTGGGCATAGAGTTTCCAGCTATGTGCTCCTCATTTTTGTTTGTTTGTTTGTTTGTTTGTTTGAAGTTGTGTTCTGCGGGGAAGAGAAGGGAGGGAGAGCAACACATGGAGTTTATGGCAGAGAGTCTGACAGACAGGGGTAGGGATGGGTGTTGCCTCCTGGGTTTTATTCAAATTATCACATGACATTGTAATAGTGAAGGTAGAGCCACTCTCCCATTCTTTGTTGTCACTCTGCCCACTGTTGAACGTCCTTCCTTCACACTCACCGCACAACCTGTCACTGGCTGGCAGCCTTGGGGAGTATGCTGCAGAGTGCAAAGACTACTATACTTTTCTGAACAAATGTGGTGGGTTCAGAAGGGAAAACCTGGGCTGTCCAGTCTAGAACAGCGTAGAAAGGCATCCCTCAGGGCCAAGGAATAAAGAGCCTTCTGTTTGCTTTCTAACAAGTCCTCAAGCACTTGTGGAAGTGAGAGAGGAACCACATATATCAAAGGGTCAAATTTGGTCAGGAAGCTTAGGCTATAACAGCGTTTTACAACACTGTAGCCATTCTGGTCTTCTGTGGAATTATCTTCTTTTACCCTGGCTCTTTGGAATATTGAGAGCCACAGGGAGGAACGTGAAGGGTTCTAACCTGGAAAATAAGATGAAAGAACAGGATCCCACACAACCTCATGGATCCGTGATTTCCTCTGCCCTTCTGTAGAGATAAACAGGAAAGTCCTCTCCGAAGGCAGGGTCTGTTCCTACCCACCAGGAGCAGGATGGAGCATTATAGCCACCCCTCACCATTCCTGCCTGCCTTATTTCTCTGCCCTCACTGGCTGTCACTCTGCTTGGCACAGCAGACAGACACTACCAATCGATCACTATGTACAGATTTTGTCTAGCATGTGCAAGGCCCTGGGTCCATCCCCCGCATGGCTTAAGAAGGCTAGACTGATTCCATGACAGGCTTCACAATGGCAGTTCAGAAGACTATACCTAAGAACTGGGCAAGTCCAGGCAAGCCCAGGCAAGTCAATTACTAGAACAAACCCCAGGCTTTAGGCAGCTAGTTAGAAAACTGCCCTGCCATCAGAAGCTGTCCCACCACCTGGCCTGAGGCAAGGACAGTGGGTCAGCAGCAGTTTCCAGACTTCCCCAGCAACAGTTTTCCTAGAGATGGACTCAACAGATTAACATGGAGGTCACCTATCCCAGAATCCCCTAATGTGCTTTAAATCAGGCCTGTGAGCTTGGTTGCCTCTATCTTAGACTGAGGGACCCCAGCATGCTGGACTTCTGCAGAATGAAACACTCTTTGCAGTTACATACTGTCTAAGTCCGGTGTTCAGCGAATCAGGGACCCTTACAGGCTAAAACAAGGAAAATGTTGCTGAGGAAAAGCAACTGTATCAAGTGTATTTCCTCATTCTACCTGAAACCTAGTCAGATAAGAATAACTTCTAGGGCTGGAGAGATGACTCAGAGGTTAAGAGCACTGACTACTCTTCCAGAGGTCCTGAGTTCAATACCCAGTAACCACATGGAAACTCACAACCATCTGTAATGGGATCTGATGCCCTCTTCTGGTCTGTCTGAAGAGAGCAACAATGTATTCACATACATTAAATAAAATTTTTAAAGGAAAAATATTAATTACAAGTATTGAATTTTGTTAGGAGTCAAATTATTCCATAACATGAAACATGAAAGAGGCCAAAGTGATCACAGAGATAACTTGTCACAAGCCTCTTAAACTAAGAATGACTAAAAAAATTAAAATCAGTAAGCTGAAATGTTTTTTGTTTTTTGGTTTTGGTTTTGGTTTTTCGAGACAGGGTTTCTCTGTGTAGCCCTGGCTGTCCTGGAACTCACTCTGTAGACTAGGCTAGCCTCGAACTCTCGAACTCAGAAATCCGCCTGCCTCTGCCTCCCAAGTGCTGAGATTAAAGGCGTGAGCCACCTCTGCCCAGCTTAGTTTTGTTAATTATGTTTATGTGTCTATGGGGTGGAGAGTGTATGTATATATGTGTATATGGGGTGGAGAGTGTATGCATATATGTGTCTATGGGGTGGAGAGTGTATGCATATATGTGTCTATGGGGTGGAGAGTGTATGTATATATGTGTCTATGGGGTACAGAGTGTATGCATATATGAATGCTGGTGTCAGTGGAGGTCAGAGGTATCAGATGTCTCTGGAGCTAGGGT